CCTAGACAAAAAAGCGTAGATAAAGACATGAGATAGATAAAGAGAGAAAGACAGTTACTGTGTTGTGTCGTAATCCATCAGCCAAATGTTGTGCTCCAACATCTCCGATTGTATTGTTCTTGAGATCTAGTGAGGTGAGTGTCTAAATGAAAAAGTGTAAGTAAAGACATCATATAGAGCAAGAGAGAATGGCAATTACTGTGTTGTATCGCAGCCCATCAGCTAAAAGTTGTGCTCTGCCATCTTCGATTATAGTGTTCGTGAGAACTAGTGTGGTGAGTGTCTAAATGAAAAAATAAACGTAAACCCATTAGATAGATAAAGCGAGAAAGACAATTACTGTGTTGTGTCGTAATGCATCAGCCAAAAGTTGTAGCCCGACATCTCCAATTTCATGGCCCCAGCCCCAATGATCTAGTGTAGTGAGTGTCTACATGAAAAAGTGTAAGCAAAGACATGATATAGATAAAGGAACATAATAGCAGCCTGCTATTAGCAGGCCATTGTTATATGGGTTTTCATGAATTAAATAAATGTTGGTAAGACTATATTGATGATCACATAGATATAAGTCTTAATACTTCTTTGAACTTAGGTTCTGTGTAATGCTCAAGATTATCGAGTAAAAAGCTAAGTTAAAAGGAAGTTAGAAAGGGTTGCGCATACGTAGAATCTTTTTATCTATCCGTTGCTGGAAGTCTGAAATATGTTTGTAAAAGAAGGAAAAGATGCTGGGTTATAAATAATAGTGTGTTAATTACTGCTGCGGAAAACAGTTGTAAGTCTTGCATCGCTTGTTAGTATTGTGTAGATATTGGAAAAATATAGTTCCATAGCAGTATTTCACTGATGAGTCTGAAGATGTGTTTTGCATGTGAACCTGATTTGAGTTATCTGATTTGGCTAAATTAATGGGTCTAGTTTGTTTTGGTAAGAATATTCATTGATTTCGATAGGTGCTTTCGATGACACTACACGGTTAGGTGTATAAAACAATAGTGATTGATAAAAATGGAGGAGCTAAAGAGTGTATTCTATAATGTCAGATTCATAATCCGTGAAAGGTGAACACATGCTAAAACGTCGAATTATAAATATATCTTACAAAGTGCACTAGATGTTTTCTTTTGGTAATCAATTATTCCTGAGATTTTATTCTCAAGAAAAATTCCTTTAAATGGAATGCGTTTTAGGACAACGTTTTTGAAAAAAAATTGATTTAGAAGTAGCGTTTCGTCAAGAACTGTTCCACTTTGTTGGTATAATCATAGGTAATGTGATTGAATGAGTGTGACTGTTGTTTTGAGTCAATTTGCTGTCCATCCACATTCGCGGTTATGTACAGTCAGAGTCATCCATGCTGTCAGAGGAGCATGTATAGGAGATATTTCTTGAGTGAATTTCTGAGAAGTGGTTTATAACAAAATAAACTAGCTGGTTTATAGATGGTTAATTTCTTTCAAAGTGTTATTTTTATTATTGAAATGCTAATAAAAAAGTGTTTAGACGTTATTAGAACGAAAATAAAAAGAATTTTTTTCGAATTATTAGGATATTGTTTCTGAAAGAGATTAATAAGCGATAAATTAGTTTAGGTAACAAATAGTTTATTCTCGTACATTTTATTGAAGTGATTCTATTTGTATAGAGACTGTATGAATGAAAAATAATTTATAAGTTAATCGACAAAAATTAGATTGTCATGATAGAAAAAAGTTTACCTGATATCGATGATAGCTATTTAAGATCATGTTGAAACGTTGACATACATTAGTCATTGAGCATATCAATGTGAGATCTGACTGTTGATCCAGAATTCGGTAGACAATTTCTACCGGTAACGTATGAAAGTTCGCGACAGTATAATTTACCATTGTAGACTGCTGATAAACTACGTGCTGTGTAGCGTTGTATGTTGGTGATATGATGTGTTTATATTTTTTCTTCCTACCTGAATGAATATATATTCGTCACGCATCATTTATTTCATATGATGTTGCAATTACTTGTTGAAAGAAAAAAAAGCCCGAAAAATTGACGTCAACTACAAAATAACAGAATCGACACAGTAACTGTACGTCACATGTTTGTTAAGATTGTTTTTATTGATATCAAATGATGTATAATAAATATAAATATTGTGTTCTCGTTGTAATTAACAAAGGTTTATTGTCATTTTTTTTTTCAAAATCTATATTTTGTATGCTGGTCTTTGTTCGAAAAAATGATATAAATTTGTACGCGTATCTTCAAATTACAAAATGGTTTGTCCCAACGAGCGATAAGCCGAAGGGGCATGAAAAGAAGAAAAAAAAGTCTCAGAAGATTTTTTATAATCTTGATTTTAAAAGTATTAGTATTCGTATTAGTTGATGTCATAATAATGCTAAGGCGATATGTCTATTCAAAACAAAATGTCACACATTTTTTTTCAATATTAATTTTTGAAGATAGTTTGAGAGCATTAATATTTCGGTTTAAGTAAACAAACATCCATAGTTTAATCCTGAGTATTTCCAAGATATAACTCTCATTAGCGTTTACCAAAGTTTGCGATGTTATATATTTATTATGAAAGATACACTTATCAAACTATACATTGAAATATAGCAGCGATAAACCACATGAAGTAAAGAAGAACATAAATAATTAAAAATTGGAATATTGTTCTCATAGAAATTAGAAACTAGAATAGAATTTTGAAAGAAAAACCAAAATCAGCATGCTTTACATGTTCAATGCACACCTCTTATTAAGATAGGAAATGAAACTATTTATGTATTTGACAGATGTTAAATTGAACAAGAAATAGAATATAATAAACAACATGCAAATGAAGGCGGTAGATCTTTATGAAATAAAAGATAGTTTACTAGATATACACTTCCTTTTTACAATATTTTCATTAAATCTGTTTTTACTACTATCGTTTAGTTGAGCATTGTCTATTTTTATTATTAGAATTATCAGACGGAGATTTTGTATAATCTTTATATTTTTTTTTATTCTTAAGATTAACATTTAAAGTCACATTTTATCTACGGTAGATACATTTAACAAAAAAATGTCATCGACAGCAGTAGCACAAAATATTATAAATATTGCTCGAGAATATACTGTTTCTGTTTACTTTATTATTTTAATCTGTGGTCTTACTGGTAATATTTGTAATATTATTGTTTTTTCTGGTTTAAAAATCTTTCGACATAATCAATGGACTTTTTATCTTACTGTTGCATCTATTACAGATTTGTGTTTAGTAATTATTATATTACCATTTCGTATTGCTGACTATGGTTATGGTCATGATCTAACAAAATTATCACTTGCGTGGTGTAAAATAAGGCAAGCACTTGTTTCATCACTTTCATTAATGTCGCTTTCATCAATATGCTTTGCAGCTATTGATCAATACTTATCAACTCATTATAGTCCTTGGTTAAGACAATTGAGTACCTTGAAATTAGCTCATCGTCTGGTTTATAGTACTATTGTTATTTTGGCTTTACTTAGTATTCCATTTCTTATTTTTTTTGAAATTCAATCATCAGCTGGTTGTACTGTATATAATAGTGGATTTTCAATCTATTATTCATTTGTTTACTTTTGTATACTTAGTGGAGTTTTACCTATTACAGTTTCTGGACTTTCGGCATTATTTGCTTACGTAAATGTTCGTCGTATAGTAAGACAACAGGTAGCAATTGTTCGACGAAGATTAGATCGTCAATTAACTGCAATGGTTTTAACGAAAGTTATATTTTTAGTCATCACAATTTCACCTTTTATTACTTTTCGTATCTATTTATTGAATAGATCTATTGATCCAAATGATTCTATACGATTAGCAGTTGAACAATTGCTATCTACTATTTTTTCTTCAATATTCTATGTTAATTTTTCAGTAAGTCATATCATTTAACATAATACTTATTCAATTTTATTTATTGCAGGGTACATTCTATTTATTTCTATCAATCTCGAAACGATTTCGTCAACAAGTTAAACATGCACTTATAAAAAATATTGGGAGGAAATTATGTCGCAGTATAATATGTAAAAAATTATTTCCTAATCAAAATCAAATAGCACCTACAAATACAGCTACAGATATGGAACTGACTTGAATAATCAATTTATAGACATAATTTATACATTTATCATATTATTAATCGTATAGTCTTTTTTACTCTTCACACTATGTTAACACCATAAAATGATATACAAATAAATTCTTACTATGTTTACCAGAAACTAAATCTATACTTTTAATATGATACGTATATAAAAGCAAAAGAAAATACGCGTGTGTTTATAATTGATGAATAAGACAGAAGCATGTTTCTAGGAAATTTAATTTATATTGGTTTGTAAAAATTCATCTAAATGTAGTGAAGAGATTTGCATATTTTTGAAAATAATATTATTGCACAACTTTATTAATGTTAAATTTTTTCGACGTTATTATGTATTCCTTCTATACACTATATTAAATGTCATCAAAAATTTTAATTACATAAATTCATTCTTAATCATGTAATATCAATAATAACCAGATATAGAATGATTACCGAAGCAGACAAGAATTGGAAAAAACGCGTTTAGACACACAAAATAGAATTGTGATTGTGAGCCATGAGCGCTTATTAAAAACAAGAAAGAAAATGCGTCCTTTTCAACTTTCTAGAGATCAAAACGATAAAACCGAAGCTTTTTATCTTTGAAACGTGTTATTTTTAAAATCTAGAATGAAATTACATTTTCGACTCCTTGACGTGTAGGATGTAGCAGAACACGCTGATAAATGCGTCTTCTTCTGTGTTTTTCTTAAGGGTTCATAGTTCACAATCCCGATTCTATTATGTGTTTAAACACATTTTTCCAAATTCCTGTCTGCTTGGATGTAGTGCCTATGATGTGAATCAGTGTGAATATATTTTAGTTACGTCAATGCGTTTAAAAATCACTCTCATTATTGTAATCATATTGTTTCTGTCTCCGCAAGAAAGATTTATTTTTTTGATGAAACCAGATCATATAAGAGTTTTTGATTTACTAGAATTAATCTTCAATTAAAGCTAATTATATGATGAGTATATGCTTCAGGATAATAACTAAGAATATGAAAGTTTTTAATAAAGTATCAATTCTATGAAAAAGAAATTCAATCAAAAGATAAAACAAATTAACAAAAATCTTCAAGGCAATCATAAATATAAATTTAAATTTGTATTTTCATTGCATAGTTTTGATGAGATGACAGTTTACTCCAACATAATTAGCATAGAAGAATCACAAAGATCCGAAGGTATTGAGTAAATATTCATTTTTCATTAAGATTTGTTTATTAAATATAACGACATTCTTTTCTTTATTTACATCGTATTATAATATTCCGCATCGTTATCTTACTTATTTATTAACATTATCTGACAGACTAGTAATAATGTATTTATATACTCACGAATAATCTATTTTATCAAATAAAATCTACTTAGTGAACTATGAAATATTCTTTTTAAGAACTTTTGAGATATCATTTATTAATATTCATATTAATTGTAATAGAATGTCATCATCGATAGCAACAACAATTTTGTTTGTTTCGAAAGAATTTGCATTATATGGTTATTTTATCATTTTAATCTCTGGTGTGATCGGAAATATTGGTAATATCCTTGTTTTTACTTGTTATAAAATATTTCGACGTAATCAATGTGCTTTTTATCTCATTGTGGAAACAATTACTGATTGCTGTTTATTACTTGTGGCATTACCATTTCGTATAACTGAATTAGCATTTGCTTTAGATCTTACACGAGCATCATTGATTTGGTGCAAATTAAAAGCCATGATTAGTTATACTTCAACACTTATAACACTTTCAGCAATATGTTTCGCTGCTATTGATCAATATTTATCAACTAATTATCATCCTTGGTTAAGACAACTAAGTACTTTAAAACTAGCTCATCGTCTTGTATGTAGTTCTATTATTATCTGGATTGTTTACGGTAGTATGTTTCTAATTTTTTTTGAAATTCAATCAACAGCCGGTTGTACTATATATAATGTAGATTTTGCACGTTATTTTTCCTATTTTCATTATATTATACTTAATGGTATGATACCTGTATCAGTATCATCAATTTTTAGTTTACTTGCTTATTTTAATGTTCGTCGAATTGTACAAATGCGAATGATAGTAGTACGACGAAAATTAGACAAACAACTTACTGCTATGGTACTTATTAAAGTAGTATTTTTAGTTTGTACACTCCTTCCTTCAATTATTTTTCGAATTTATATATTAAATGTTACAGTGGATTCGAATGATATTATTCGAATAGCAATTCATCAATTAGTATCAAATATTGCATATGCTTTATATTATATAAATCCTGCAGTAGGTACTATTTTGAGAAATTTTATGTTTCTATTTATTTTCATTTTAGTGTACTTTTTATTTGTTTTTATTGGTATCACCAAGATTTCGTCGTCAAGTTAAATATACATATACTTTAATAAAGAACTTCAGTCGACGATACTGTAGAGCCCAACGTCAAAATCAAATTGCACCAAATTTTGAAGAAAGAAGTGATTTAGATCAATAAGCGTTCAATCATTTCGAGTGTTCTCTTATTTTAAGGGTTTCTTAAATAATTCATTTGTATTTTATTCTTCATAATATTTTCAGAAAATAAAATTTTTATTTTTCAAAAAACTATTTTTTGTATCAATACTTATTTTATTGATGATTTTTTAATATATCTTCTAATTCTTTCAATAATTCTTGTCGTCTTTCATTGGAAATAAAAGCAGCATAAATAGCATTTTGTGTTAATTGCACCCAATCTTGAATAGATAATTGAAAAGCTTCTTGTATAGCATAAAAATTTGCCAGAATATAACCATCAAAATAAGCTGGATCATCAGAATTAATAGTTACTCTAATATGGTTTTCAAGAAATAATTTTAATGGAAGATCATGTATTTTCTTAACCACTTTGAGTTTAAGATTTGAAAGCGGGCACATTGTTAGAGGAATTTGAGATTGAGCAATTTGTTTTAATAATATTGGATCATCGATACAATGAATACCATGATCAATACGTTCAACTTTAAGTAAATCAAGAGCTTCTTTAATATAGGATGATGAACCTTCTTCACCAGCATGTGCTACACAATGTAAACCGAGTTCATGAGCTTTCTTATAAAGTCGAATAAATTTTGACGGTGGATTATTGATTTCATTTGATTCAAGACCAATACCAATAAAATATTCACGATATTCTAAAGCTTTATCAAGAATGTCAAGTGCTGATTGTTCACTTTCATCACGTAGAAAACTAAGAAGAAGTGCTGTTGTCATATTAATTTCCTTTGTTGCTTTTTGGCAAGCACGTATCAAACCATCAAATTGACATTTAAGTGACACACCACGATTTATATGTGCATGAATATCAACAAATACTTCACAATGACGAACATTATCAGCAGCAACACGTTGGAAATATGCCCAAGCTAAATCATAAAAATCTTCACTGGTAATAAGTACACTACATTCTTTCTCCAAAACATCAAGAAATGATTTTAAATCGTTGAAATTTGCATAAATTTCTTTAAGTTCATTAATATCTTTAAATGGCAATGTAATATTATTTCGTTTTGCTAATTTAAATAGAAGATCAGGTTCCATAGTACCTTCTATATGTACATGAAGTTCAACTTTTTGTAAACAACGAAGAAATGAATCCATATTATATAATAATTAATAATCTAGTTTATTGATTATAAGTTAAATTACTAATGAATTACAACCAATCTATTTTTTTTGTAGGATATAGTAACATGTAATGTAGTGCAAATATATTGTTAAAAATAACGTGATAGGCACATGTTTATTTATTTTCTTTTTCGTCAGTTTACTTTAATCGTAGTGGTATTTTTTCTTTTAATCGTTCTGTATATATATAGATGGGTAGAAATTACGAATCTAAATTTAGAGAAATAGTTTTCATCTGACAAAATCAAAGTATGCTAATAAAAATCCGTTAGAAACATTTCGCTCTTTTCATATGATCGAAGTTTCATTCACTTTGCACTCAGAAGATGTATTTGGAGTAAATAGAATATATTACATACAAAATATCACATGTATCAAAGTTTTCTTTGAAGATTAAATAGACACTAAATACTACTGTTTCAAATATCAATTTTCCTGATGTTTAACATGGTTACTAAATGTGATGGCTCTGTGGATACCATCAAAATATATCTTTTCTTTGCCTACTGAATCGATTCGATGTTCTTTTTATTCTGGAAGTCAAAAACTTCGCTATACTAAAGCCTCTTCTAATATTATATTGGCGTAGGATTCATCTGAAATGAGATTTGATTTTGACATATTTTTTAATAAATTTTAAATTCGCAATTAGATATACTACGTGTCAACAGAATATTATTTTGTCAATTATGTTCATTAGTTACAACAAAACTTCATTATATATTCATAAATATTAATAAAGAAATATGACATTTGAAGAAAAACTCGCAAAAGTTTTGTCCTTAGATTATTGTAAACGAATTATTCACATTATGTCGATGCAACTAACAGCACAAGAAATTCTTGATGCTTTTGAACATTTTACAATTTATGTTAGTTTTATTATTTTATTTGGTGGTATTTTTGGTCATATTATTGATATTCTAGTTTTTACAAGTTCTAAACCATTTCGAAAAAATCCGTCCGCTTTCTATCTCACTGCTGAATCAATTGTAAATTGTATTCATTTACTTATTTCATATTCTTCTCGTATTGCAATCAATGGTTTTAATAATGACCTAACACAAACATCTATTATATGGTGTAAATTACGGAATCTAATTGCAACAAGTTGTACACTTCTTTCACTTACTATTGTTTGTTTTGCCGCTATTAATCAATATCTATCAACTAGTTTTCAATCGCATTTAAAACAATTGAGTACACTTAAACTCGCTCATTATCTCACTTTTATTGCAATTATCGTTTGGATTTCGCATGGAATTTTATTTTTGATTTTTATGAATATTCAAACACCATATGGATGTGTGTCTATTAACAATGATTTTATTATTTATGTTACATATGTATATTATCTAATACTTACTGGATTCTTACCAATCATAATTACATCAATATTTGCTACATTAGCTTATGCAAATGTTCGTCGTGTTATACGACGTCAAATTCCAATTATTCGTCGTAGACTTGATAAACAATTAACTGCAATGATTTTAGTTCGTGTAGTATTTCTAGTAACAGTTACACTACCTTATATTATTTATCGTATATATACGATACAGAGTCAAGCAAATCAAAGTGATACTATTGAGCAAGCCATTGTGAATTTAATCGGGGCTGTAGCTTATACTTTATTCTATTTAAATTATGCTGTATGCAATATATATATTTAATATTCGATATGATGTTTTATTTTGTTTGCTTTAGGGTTCATTCTATTTGTTTTTAATCTCATCAGAACGATTTCGTCGACAAGTTAAATATATCGTATTCAAAAAATATTGGCGAATGTATTGTCAAACAGGTCCACGCAACAATCATATAGCTCCAATATCACATATATCAAGTGTTGAATTAGACTAAAACTATAATCCATATATTTTAATAATTTTGTATTTATCGTTATTTAATTGTACTGTATCGTCTATAATTACTTTAAATAAAGACTATATCCATTTGTGTTTTATCTATTTCTTCGTCATTTTGTAGATCCTATTTGAGATAAGTCATGTGCGTATGTAACTCGATTGATGTTTTCAGTTACTGAGTATATGCTATGTTGTTTCATATCAATTAAGAGCATTATCTATACTAAAATAGATATATTCGGTTAGAAAGATCACGCTTTTTGTATCTCATAATTTAATTTTGCTAATCTTATCATTATGATAATGAAAGAAAGATAAAAATAAATGTTAAGTTTCTGTATTAATGCCTGGAAAGGTCACATTCAAAGTCATTCGACATACTATTAAAAGAAAGAAGGACTTATCCTACAAAGGATATCTTTTTATAGAAAACTTTCACTGCATACGGATATAAGACAGTATTATTTAATCAATTATCTATGGCAAAAAAAATTTCTTATTTTATCTGCTTAGACGTCGTAAATATTTCTGGGATCAATTTAAATTTTCACTACTATATGAATATGATAGAAAAACTAGTTAAATATTCATTGCACGACTAATACAAAAAAATAAAAACTTATAACCATGTCATCATTATCGATAGCACAAACAATTCTTTCTATCGCTCAAGATTGTACCATCTATATTAGTTTTATTATTTTAATTGGTGGTCTACTTGGAAATACTTGCATTATTATAACTATCTCACGTCTTAAATTTCTTCGAAAAAATTCTTCTAGTTTTTATCTTATTTCAGAATCGATCGCAAATTCTATCATATTAGTCATACCTTATAGTTTTCGTATTGGCATCAATGGATTTAATTATGATCCATCGCAAACATCAATTGTATGGTGTAAATTAAGACAAACATTTGGTCAAATGTGTATACTTATTTCCATGAGTCTTGTATGTTTTGCTGCTATTGATCAATATTTATCAACTAATCATCGTCCATATCTACGTCTAATGAGTTCACTTAAACTAGCTCAATATTTAACAGCATGTGCAATATTTATCTGGATTCTACATAGTATTCCGTTTATTGTTTTTCTAGAGATTCAACAATCCAATGGTTGTAATATATATAATAATGTACTTATAAATTATATTACATATATTTATTATCCAATTCTTTGTGGCATGTTACCTATCATAATATCGTCATTATTTAGTTTGTTAGCATTTACAAATGTTCGTCAAATCCTTCGACGTCAAATGCCAGTTTTTCGACGTAGACTTGATAGACAAATGACTTCAATGATTTTAATTCGTGTCATTTTTCTGATTATATTTACACTTCCAAATACTATTCAACGAATTTATGCTTTAATTATGCCTGCAGATCCAAATGACTTAATCGGAGCCGCTTTAGAACAATTGGTGAGTGTAATTACGACCTCATTGTTTTATTGTCATGTATCGGTATGTACTTTTTATCTTTTGTCTATGTCATGATTTAATATTTAGTTTAGTGCTCTTTCTACATATTCATTATTTCATCTCGTCGATTCCGTCGACAAGTTAAATATGTTTTTTTCAAAAAGTGTTGGAAACCAAACCGTAAAAGAACAGCATGTGTCTATCCAGCAGCTGCAGGTTCATGTGTCTTAAGTAATGAACTGAACTAATTGTACTCAACTTTCTTTTAAAAAAATATTATTCTTGCATTGTTTTAAATACTCCTACAATAATAAACTACTTATTCGATTTTTCTTTTATACATTTACTATAATGTATATTGATTGAAAATTATTTATAAATTGTAACAATTATGGTTGTGACTAATGATAGTCGTAGTTTAAATATAATAATAACAAAAAATAAGATTTACGATCAATATTTTAAGTGACAATTCTATTGATTATAGTTGTTTCATTAAAATCACAACTGTCAGAACTTACTATCAAAAGAATTCTTTTTTGTAGAAATAAAATATTCTTACCAAACAATGGTAAATAATAGTTAAAATTATGCTTATTGAATATGTAAAGTAGTGTTGTATTTTTATCAAGTATTCATCATCTTACCTCCTTAATTTTAATTCTTTTAGTCTCGAATAAATTAGAAATATAAGAAGATACACAACGATAAACGACACTTATAAAATAAGATGTATTTTATTCTTTTCTGATAGTTATATATCGATTCTCACTGATAACAGAGAATAACATATTAGCATAGTTTAATTTCTTCTTTTTACTCATATACAGCAAGGAAATATTGTTCTATGATTCATATCAAGCTTACATGATTAGCTACGGCGATACACAGCAGATAAAATGCATATTTATTTTACTCATATAAAAAACTTACTGTTTTTATTTATCTCAAAATCTGCTTCAAGACAATTTTTAGAATATCGAATTTACGACAATATAAGAAATGAGTTAGTACAAAAACGCAGACACACATACACTAGGTGTGCTACATTACTTTTATTACTTATTATTGGTTTTACTCGATTACTCTTATTACTTTTCATAATTATTACCTATGTCTAGTCAAGTAATATAGCATCTGTAGTATACATAGAACATTTTTTAAATAAAAGATGACAGAGAAGGTCATACAAACTGTCTCTCCTCATAAGGATATAGTCGGAAACACATTCAGAAACATCTTTAGACTAGAAAGAATGAAAAACTACTTGTATTCTCATTTCAAATAGTTAAATTCAATTGAATCTTCGAATAAGTTATAACACAGTCTGATTTACTGTTGATTATATTCAAATTTGATGGAATCATAACAGTATTCTTCAATTGTAATGTAGCTGAAGTAGTAAATGTAAATTATTTTAAATACCAAAAAAAACAGCCACAAATATTCTTAAGCGATAGCAATCGTTCAAGCACTGCAATAAGTAATGAAATAAACATCCTTAAATAATTAGTTTTAAAGAGAGATTGTATTCATCACTGATAATAATTACGATAAGTTTTATTTTTATAGATAAAGAACAATATGAAAAAACGAATGTTTTTTTTTTATTTATTTTTGACTAATCATCTGCGTCGTGCTGTCGATTTGCCATATACATGCAAAACTAAGAAATCAAATAGACAATAAGCTTGTAAATGAAATTTTTCTTCAAATATCTTACTTCATCAAATAAAATGAAACCACCTCCATTTGTATCGATATTGTTAAATTCTTGTTTTAGATAATTATCATCTAAATGATCTTGACTTAATAAACTGAAACCTTTTTTAAATTCATTAAAAGTAATACGATGATCACCATCTTTATCAAATTGTGCGAATTTTTTGCTTAGATCATCATAATAACCAAGTACTTCAATAAGCTTTGCAAATTCTTTTAATTCAATAAAACCATTCTAAAATAAAATTAAAATTTCTTTCAATTAAAATCTATCTCCTATATTATTCCTTACTCCGCCATTATCTGCTGCTTTATATGCTCGCATAATAGCTTTCTTATTTGAACCAAGTTCTGGATAATAATGAGTAACAGCTCGATCAATTTCAGCTAATGATAAATGACCATTACCATTATCAAATGATTTAAATAACTAGACATATAGAATATATATCATAAAACACTTACAAATAAAACATACTTTTTTAATTTCTTCTTTGCTTCTTTTTGGTGGCATTGTTAAAATGTATCTTGAAGAAATTTAAAACACAAATTCTTGTTAAAGATTGTAGAATAGTAATACACCTAGAATGTTAGTAAAATAGAAAATTACTTTCTTTCTTCTGTGTATTTAAAGAGAAGAAAAAATAGCTTCACCAAGGTAACCTGCAGTGTTTGAGAATGAGTCAATTTATTTCATCTCTTTCTCTTTTTTTTTTTTATTTCGACAAACTGTGACATAGATGAATAACGAGAAAGAGAAAAAAAAAGGTGAGCGTTTCTCTCTAAAGAATTGTTATAGGATGCAATATTTATTTAGCAAGAACCATTTATGAATGAATCTGTGGGGAGTATGCGCGTGACGCATAAGAATTCCTAAGAAAATCTACATCATACGATTAAAAATAATTGTTGAGTCTAAAGATAAACTTTTGTATTAATAATTACATCAAGATATCAAACGAGTTTTAATATTGTTATTTTCTGACATTAAATTAGTCATAATACATTTAGTACTGAGTGCCTGTAAATTTTTTATTATTGTACAAGTACAACTTTACCGTTGAATAAATACCTGTCCGAGGTCGATTGAGTTTTTGATAGAGATTTGTTGAGACAGCTGATGGAATAGAATAAACAATTTTGATCTGTCAATAAGCATTACCTTAAGCAAATACTCTGTTTCTTTATATAGAATCCAATTATGATTTTATGTATGTCTTAGTGCCATAGATGACATAAACATTTGCTATTTTCGTATGATAATACTACAAGTTCATATATTATAAACGTTTTTTTTTTCTTTCTAATGTATGTTTGTTCACGAGTACCCATCACTATCCGTACAATTACCGAAAGACGATGAAAAGAAAAGGAAGAAACCACAAAAATGAACAGAAATGTTAAAAAAAAGAAAAAAAAACACCCAGCTTTCACATCTCATGTTTTCGTTAAAAATAATCATATAAACTACAAAAAAAGGACAACAATTAGTATTCGTCACATCGGTATAAATATTGCGTTTATATTGATTAATTATATTAATTACCAAAATTCAGGATGATGACGAAGAGCATCGATCAATGCTGTAGGTTCAAGTCGTCGTTCACATATCTCATGTACAGCCGCAAATAATGGAAATCTATATGAATTAAAAATATATATTTTAATACGAAAAAAAATTTCCACTTACTTATTTGCTTGTCCTTTGTCTCTAAGCCATTCTTGAACTTCAGCAGCTGCATCAGGTCCTTGTAATTTTTGTCCATTGAGCATTTCTTCTTCAAGTGTCTTAATATCTTTACCAGTTTTTACAAATGCAGCAGCAACTTTACGATTACGACCACCATAACATGTTGTAACAAGATCAGCAACACCACATGATTCTAAAAAGATTTGAGGATGATGTCCTAATGAATAAAATAAAAATTATTTTAATACATTTTATATAATTCAAAATAACAAACCAGGAAAAAATTCTTCACAAAATTTTACCATTTCTTTTAAACCGAGACGAATAACAGCAGCTTTTGTATTATCACCATAACCTAATCCATCAGAAAATCCTGCAGCAACAGCAACAATATTTTTTAATGCACCAAGTACTTCAATAACTTCGATATCTGGTTTAATAACAATACGAAATTCTTCTGTTTGAATAAGACCTTTAATTAATTGTCCATGTTCATAATTACGTGAACCAACTGTAGCTTCACAAAATGTTCCAGCAGCAACTTCAGTAGCAATATTGGCACCCATTAATACATAACAAGGAATTTCAAGTAAACGACTAATTACAGACGATAACAGATCAACACGTTTATCTTTACCAACATAAAAACCCTGAAATATAAATCAAACAATTTTTCTTATATTATATCTATTGCCTTCATAAATTCAACATACTTTAGAGAAAGATACTGCAAAAGCATTTTTCTTTACATTGGATTTAATTGCATTACATGCTCGCTCAACAAATTGATGTGGTAAAACAAATAGTAAGATATCAGCATCTTTTACTGCTTCAACAACATCTGGATATGCAACCTGAATTAGATAATGTAAAGATGAATTTATAAATAAATAAAACTTACAACGTTCGGTGTAAATTTAAACCCTGGTAAATACTTGACATTTTCATGTTCTTCATTAATAATTTCTGTTAATTTTCGTCCATTAACCATTTCTTCAAAAACATACATGCGTATTTCATTTTCAAATGTATTAAATTTAGTTATATTATTGCCAACAATTTTTGCAATTGTTGAACCCCTAATTATTAATATAAAATAAAATTATAGATAATACTATTAAAATCAAACACATACCAATTGCCACTACCAACAATCGCAACTCGTTTAAGTGGATCACTCATCTAAAATGAAACTATAACATTCAAAATAATATAACACAGCTGTGACCTTTGGACTCTTCCTACTAACAATATTCTAAGGAGAATGATATGCATATCTTATACCTTTACTTGCTCTTATTTCTTACGATTGTTTATAGTCAATGTATCAGATAAGAAACATACAAAATAACTGTCGACTATAAAAACAATGATAAGAGCACATGTAAATAAAAACTAAATCATTTTATTACTATTATCATACCTTTATTTAACAAAACGAATAGTATATAGTATGTTAATCGTCTCGACTAGCATATCAGAAGAAAAAAATTTATGTCGAGAAAATATATGTACTTAATAAATATGAAATAGTATTATAGAAGATTACTTTTGTATTTCTCTTGTTATCATAAGAATCAACTAGGATGATTTGTAAAATAGTTCTTTGTCGCTACGTGATTTAGTACGACTGACGTTGAAGGACGCGACATATTTCTGATAGAAATATAAAAATACTATGCTAATGTTTATCAATAGATCTGGATGAATGAAAAACTAAAGAATGATAAGAGTCTATACATTTGTATATATAGAGATGGAGCTGTGTTGCATTGGCTATAATGAAATGAAAAACAAAATAACGATTATTCATTATAACAAACTTTTGATTCTCCAACTAATATATAACGATAATTTATAATAGCTTAGAGATAATCGTTGTTTTTTTCTATTTAAAAGAATAGCAATCGTTATTTTCTTAGTTGTATTGATATGCATATTGCTTGTTATTATTCAAAGTAAAATCGTTCCTCATTTTTTCAATAGATAAAAATTATAAGTATATATTTGGAACAATCTGTCACCACCTTGTCTATATTATCAATGTCAGATATTTTTTTCTAATCAATATATGTCCTATTATGTGTAAACGTCGTACTGAAGTAGTGTCTTTTCGAAGACTATATAGAACTAGATTTAAAGAAATAAAAATCAAATTAAATTATTATGTAAATATATATTAAAATGCCATCGGACAGTATTGTACTTGATTTTCCACTGCATAATAATATAAAATCGAGAAAAACAACTGTTGCCAAATATGAATAAAAGCAAGTATCAACTATGATTTTATAAGCATTCTATAAATTCAGACATGAATTCTTATCTTAATGTGAATGTTATTTTACATACACCTGACAAGTCGTCTAATCTCGAATAAGAAATAGATACGAATTATGTAAATATTGAACATGTCGATATGACAAACAAGTAAAAGAATGTCATTCCTTGAAAAATACACATAAGTGTAGCTAATTACGACAATGGAGCACTAAAGTATAATATAAAATGGTTGTATAAATGATAATGTTGACTCTTTACCGTAGTTTATCTTTCAGTCAATGTTAATATCATAAATAAATGCCCAATTCAATACCACAACTCTCTTATCCATCTCTAATATGAAATGACCTATCTGAAGACGTATATTTTAATAATGTATGAAAGACACACTAAATCTATATTGGTATGATACCATTGATACGTCATTCAGAAACACTCTTTTCATACTTATCTATAAACCTTTATTTGTTATCAGCATGAATTAATACTGAAAAATATGGAAGCAGTTATTTTTTTTTAACTTTTTCTATTTAGATTCTGTATTTTATTCAACTACCAATATATCAATATCAGTAGTGATAGAATTCATCACAAGTAGATTTTAAAAATTTTGTCACAATGATTTTTTCTTTTTATTGCAATTAGTAATACTATTAGAACTCTTAAATAAAATGTTATATTTCTGTTCACCAAACAAATGATATAGCAAAATCTTCGCAGATTATATATTCATTCCTCCAGAAAAAAACAAAAGTTCTATATATATGTATGTTTCTCTTCAGGATTTAACTAGACTTGTGAATTATCAGCAGAATTGTAACATACTCTATACACATTCTTCTCATCGAAATCAAAATTCTATTCAAAACTTTGCTTTTCCTTTAGGAATTAAATAAATTTCTGAATTATTAACAAAATTACGATGAATCATACACTCCTCCCTCACTTCCACAGCAAAATTCTCTCTAGAATTCTAGTTAAATTCTAAAGAGAAAACCGAATTCTATGCCAAGTTAGAACATTTTATATGATAAATAGCATTGATAATATAACAGAATTCTGTCAGTCATCATTTTGATATTAGGAAGTTGGAAAAAATCAAATATAGGGGGAAAAATGAATACTTGGAAAAAACCCAGTATTCTGGTGTTATGAAGTTGGAAAAAATTAACTTTAGGGGGAAAAACGAATACTTGGAAAAAACCTAATATTTTGGCGTTACGAAGTTGGAAAAAATTGACTATAAGGGAAAAATAAATGCTTGGAAAAAACCAACTACTCTGACGTCAGTAAGTTGGAAGAAACCAACTGTATGTGGAAAAAACCACCTGCTCTGACGTCAGCAAGTTGCATAAAACCACCTGTATGCGGGATAAATTTAAATACTGTTTAAAAAATAAACTAACGATGCTTGCGTTATAAATTCGTAACACGGTAAGATATACTTTTTCGAAGTTAATGATACTCAGTTCGAGAATGGCTTAACGTACTTCTATTAATAAATATATATTAAAACAAATACAAATATTGTATAGATATTTTTATTATTTTTTTTTATTATAAACATATTAAAAAAAAGAGATTTGTACTGAAGGTACAGACAAGAATGCTTTTAGTTAATTACTAATTTTAGTTAAAAAAGCTCAGTACAATAAATAAACATCGAAATTCAAAGTATTTCAATAATAAGCAATATTTCTCATCTTAGTATTGACGAAATATAGTTGTTACATATCAGAAACGATTTATTCAGTCATAGACGTGTAATAAAAATGACCTTGACCTTATAATATGCAATTTAATTTACTTTATATTTTCTCTTCTAGCATTATGTTGATCTATTCTGAACGTATTAGAAAACAAATGAAGAATTCAAAAGAATCTCAAATTTAAAAATAATCAGTCAGTTTTAATTTTTCTTCAATCTCATTATTTACAAACACTCTTTATTTCCAATTCGTCGATGTACTGAGTCATCAGTCATTGCGTAATAAATACAGTAATGGTGAAAGAGTTAAAAGTAGGAAGCTGTGATTACAATATATTCTCTCATGAGATATATTGTAATACCTAAACATAGCAGGGTTCTATTCCGCTGTTTATTTATTGTAAAATAAGCTAAATATAAAGTCAATAATTAACAGTTAGTTTTAACTATCAGCCATATGTTTAATGGAGGTTCTAACATAGTTTTTTTTATGTATACTTAAACACATACAAAAGATCAAATCTTGATTTATTTTCTCTAAAAAATGCACTATTAATATTTTTTACACAAATCAGAAAATAAAATCTCTATGAACTTTTATGCTCTTGTAAAAAAGCTAAAAATAAGATTTTATAACATTAATACTTCCCAGAACGATGAAGATAAAAGCAATATCTATTACAATATTTCAATCAATGCGTTTAAGCATCGCCCAGATTGACTAATTTATTTCCATGAAGAACATGTCATCATTTATTCAGATTTTGTTCCATTACATAGTAATTATTTTAAAATTGTTTTAAGATTGAAGTTGATTGAATTACTATAAAGATAAGCGACATGTGACCACTTATCTCACTTTTTCTTTTTCTCTACTCGAGGTTTTTAGGTAATTCGTTATATTTGTATATAAACCATAAACGATATTCTCATAGTGACTCATTGTAAACCAACCATAAAATCTCAGTGCAGTGTTAGTAGCACACATTCCTAAGTTAAGAATCTATATAAAATAAATAACAGCCTCGATTCATGAGTCTAAGGTGATACACGTATATCTAAAATTATTGCATACAATTGTATTATACTAAAAGTGACGTAGAAATATACGCAACTTACCGTATATTCTGTCAAATAATACAGTCAAAATTAATATTTAAGCAGTTTCTAAACCAAGTTTCTTGTCACTACTTTCGTTACTAAACATTATATTTTATTCAAAGAAAAATTGAGCGACATTTGATGGAAAGTAAAATAACATTAGCGTTTTGTCACTTTTTGGTTTATAAATCAGTAGTCATCATCAAAATATTTCGAAAAATGACTCATATTTGAATCATATACGATTACACAAGTCAAATGTAAATAATTAATATATATAAATTGTTTCTTTTTGGCACTAGAAAAATATTCACTAAATATAGTAAATTTCTCCTTATACATCATGAAAACAGATATCAATACAACGCCTGAATCATTTTCATTGAATAAATGAAATTGTCTAATATGACAATAAAGCCATATCATACAGTTTCAATAAACGTTGGAGAAAATTTCATGATAGAAACGATTAACTATTTCGAACTACTTTGTATTAATAAAAATCAAATAATAACTTCACTTTTACACCTACTTCTTTTCGTCATACACATTGGATTTTCTAAGTTTCCAACATATTCTTGCATCATCATTTAGAAGAAGATAGAGGCATCAAGGTAACTTTCGTGGGAGGCAAATTAACCACAAGATACTATTTTTAACTATTATTCATTGATCATTCACGTCATACACATCACACCTTATATATATGTATACTTCTAGATTTAAAAAAAACCAGTTTACCTTTATCTATCATAATGATTCTTACTTTACAATAATATTACTCTTACTAATGTCTACACAATTAACCAAGTCTCTCAGAGGATTGCAAGTTGGCAATGCTAATGATATTGATACTACTTTATTTTGTGCAATATGTAACCTCTTATTGCACAAACCAATACAGCTTCTATGTTGTGGTACTCGTCTATGTCGATGGTGTTCGAAAAAGAACTTGTCAGATAGGTATGTATTTCTTACATTCACTTCACTATTTCATATTATATACATCATATGTTTATATTTAGTGAACCATTCGTTTGCCCATTTTGTCAAACAAAACTACCTCAAAAGCAGGTAAAATACTTCACTTTTTGTCTATATATGATGTTAGAATGTGATTATCAAATAGGAACTTGCTGATCGAGGTGTTGAACGAGTACTAAATAGAGTTATAACTTTATGTTATTCATGTTCTTGGACTGGATCATATAAAGATTATCTAGTATGTTATTAGTTTTGCTGAATATGAAAAAAAATTGTAGAATATAAATTTTGATTAATTTTGTAGAATCACTTACAAGAATATCATGCAGATATTGAATGTGCTAATTGTCATGAACATTTTTTCTCAATAAACTCAATGGAAGAACATGCAGAAGAGATATGTGAATATCGATGTGTACAATCTGAATTTTCACTCAGTATCGAAGAAAGCAATACCGCTTGTTCATGTGAAAGTAAAACTGTATCGAATACATCTACTCAATTGACATCTAAACATAATCAATCAAAAACGAATAATGAATTCAATTTATGTCGATCAGAAGCTTCCAAACTATTAAATACTAATAGTAGTATAGTTTTTCCTTTCCATCTAGATCAAACTGATATAAACTCATTATTTTCAATGTACTCAACACTATTTAAAACAACACAAGTTGGTTATTCATTTATTCTTCGTGTGTGTTCAACTAAAGATTCAGCAAATCAGAATCAACAATATTTATCAGTATTTATTTCATTAGTTCGTGGAGAATTTGATCAACTTCTTGTTTTTCCATTTCCATACACTATCTTCTTATATTTATGTGATCAATCTGGACAAGGAAAGCATATAATATCAGCAATCAAGCCTGATTCGAATGAATTGGCACTTAGTCGTCCTTCAAGTGAAAAGAATGATGAAATCGGTGTGATGAATTTTTGTCCATTGAATTGTATTAATGAAGCCGGAAGTATCTATTTCAAGGATAATGTCTTTTTGATTCGAGTTTTTATTGATTTCTTGGACACAGGACCAACTCCATTTCAATTCGAAACAGTAACATGAGATTCCAAATTCATTATCCATAATAATCAAGTTCTTTTTGATAATATTTTATTTTGGTGCGTTTACTTTTTTTACACAACTATATTCACGCAAAAAAAGGAAAATTTTTCAAATAAACAATTATTTTAAATATATGCTGCTGTTCAAGTAATTCAATCAAAATAGTCAGCAACATTAGAGAGAAAATTACTACATATATTAAACTACTTTTTCAAGATCATCTAATGAATGTATACGAGACACATGTTGAACATGGAGTCTTAAGTTATACCCAACTAATTATGATAGTGCAATAGTAAAAGTTAGAAATAATTAGTTAAATATTTGTAATATCTATACTTTACACTACAGATTGAGTAAAAAGAAAAAAAGTCAGTTTTAGTCATTGGTAAGAGCAGCAGAATCAATTCGCCTCTATGTTTTATCGTATGGTCATAGCGTGTGGTTGAATTTGTTCGAAACTAATCAGTAATATTGAATCTTAATTAAATTTTTTTGATTATGTTAAAAAGTGCCAGTTATGCTGTTTGATTATCTTTTTAAAGAAAACAAATCATTACCATTGACATCATTTTATTATACATTTAAATTTCACTCCGTTTAAATAGCAATTATGCTAAAATTGACTTAAGGTTGAAGTTGATTGAATTAATATATAGAAAGGCGACATCTCACCATTCATCTTATAGTTCTTCTTTTTCTCTGCTCCAAGGTTGCAGGTAATTTTTTATATATGTATAAATCATGAATAATATTCGTATAGTGACTCATTGTAAACCAACCATCAAGTCTCAACGAAGTGTCGGTAGTGTACATTGTTTAACTTAGAATCTATACAAAATTAATAACAGTCTCGATTTATGAGTGAAGACCGATATGCATGTTGATCAAGTGTTATTTGCTTTACAGTATACCAATAACTACATGCATTACAGTGAGTTTTATATTGAACTTATAGATCATTTGATAATGTCCTAAAAAATTCTAACAAGAAGTCAATTAGAACTTGTAAAGGTAGTTATATTACTTAATATTACAATTGTTAAAACTATGCCTCAGTAAATCATCATCTAAAGCCTTATTTCAATATGAAACATAGTAGATCATGTAGTAGATTTTACTGTGTAGAGATTTATTGAAAACTGTTATTAAGAGTTTCATTCGGTAGAGATTGGGTTGATGTAATATTCTTGCAGTAAATATGCTCTTTTTTTGTTATAAACTCATACTGAACTAGAATTATGATTCTCTGTAGGATTTTGTAACTTATGGTTGAACTCAAACGTTATATAATTAGAATTGTGGAGATATTCAATATGGAATTGAAATCTCAATTTTACAATCAAAAGATAAGTGTTCATTAGAGTTCATTATAATATTGTATAGTTTTGATCATATATATATATCGAGGTACAAAAAATAATATTGACTTTTATTCTATTACTAGATGTATCGACGAAATAAATTTAATACTTCTTTTCATTATCGGCAATCTTTCTGCGTTGCTTGCATTTTTTTTGCGTAGTTGGTTTTTTCCAACATAAAAAGACAAGAAAAAGAAAAACAACATGCATTTATAATAATATACGTCTGAAGGCGTGCAGACCTTTGTGTACCTAGAAAACAGATCAATTCATGATCAGTTAAGTGCTGTTTTCTTTGATAAGTTAATAAAAATCATTTGTAATTAAAATTAATTCAGACATAAGAATAAGCATAGATATAACATAGTTAAATTGCAATAGTAAAAGAGTAATTCAGATTTTATGTCTTTTTACATTTTTGTTTCGATCTAGAAGTTTATTCTTTATTGAATACATATATGTTCACTTAATTACCAATTTATATAAATTTCAAAAAAAAATATTTATTTTACAGTTGACATATACAATGAGATTAGTCATCGCTTTCGGTTTATTGAAATTTGTAAAATGAAAATGACAAATACATTTAACTTAGTTGTATTTTCTTCACATTTTCTAGTTATATCGTTCATATCAGATGATAACTAGTTATTAGCAATATTAACATAATCTTGTTTTATTCAAAATTTTTATAGTTTCAGTAAAGTAGACGGAGCTATATTCATTAATATTGGTTCTCTTCAAATGATAGAATCAACATAACCTTTAGCAGGTATTGATATCAACCGCTATTTATTATTAATATGTTTTTGCCCTAGTTATTCATCTATACAAGTTGATTCATTCAATTTAAGGTTACGATATATCTATTTTTTGAAATTTCTTTGTCATATGATTTTGTTTTATAAAACGAAAGTAATTCATAGCAGAACCATGACAAACATGAGCTATATTACAATCTACCTCTCACTCTAAAATATCGTGACATAGACGAAGAAACGAGAAAAAAAACAGATTTATTTAGTAAGTCGAGTACATTCTGATGAATGTTAGTTTTAAAAATGAATCATAGAACAATAATTAGTCGAACAATAAGTTTTGTCTATCTGACCCCTTTACTATCGAAATATGTGATATAATTCGTTTGTTCTATATGTATAGTTGAGAACCAATTATACAGTCAACAAATGAGTAATAGAATGAATGAAACTGACGTGTTGTTTATTAGTAGTGATCACATTTTCATCAGTCAGATACTTTAGAACGATTCTTTAGTTTTTAAAAAATAATATGTTACTCATTACGTTCTATTTCACTAATTGATGGACATTATATCATGAAACACGACATAGTGATACATAACTCAGTATATGCAATACATTTTGATATCGCATTCACAGAGAAGAAAAATTTATGTGAACTGATAAATCTACATATCTATTTTATTCATTTTGTTATGCAAGTAATAACTTTCGTGAAGTAATTTCAAAAAAGAACCATTTTTATAGTTAGTTAACGACTTAAAATAGAAATAGTATAAACTAGCACTATAAATAACGACAAAGAACGTTTTGAGTGTTACTATCATAATGCCACTGAAATAGAAGTACATTTCTCGCTTAATTACTGTCATCAACTTTCCAGATATTAATTGTAAATGTATTCGAATTATAGATCATATATTCTCTCTTTCTTAGGTAATAAAGTCAATATTCGAGTTGTATATATCAATGAATATATTGTCTTGATAATATGAACAAGATCAACAATAAACTAACGACTAATAAAATCTGTTACGCAATTTTATGATGAATCAGAATTTATATTTTCATTTGATATCGATTGTTAAAATTCAAACATAGATGTCGATAAAAAATATTTAATCGTCAGTTGATTGGAAGAAATATTCATAACCTTTTGTTATTTTATTCGAAAGATAGATATAGTTACATTTATATTGAGTTCAGTTCTTGAACATGTCGATGTCTTAAATAATAAACAAAATATCTTTTCACATAGGATTGAAACAAAAAATGAGAATAACATCAAGCGATTTTAGTTAACTAAATATAATTAAAACAATGAGAAGTGTTGCATAACAACGAAATAACATTAAACAATTTCAATAAATTTCCGAGAAAGAAACCATTACCTATTTCGACCTACTCTGTAATGATAAACATTAAACAACAACTTCACTTTTACGCCTACTTCTTTTCATCATAAGATTGCATTTTTCTAAGTTTCCAACATATGTTTACATTATGATTTTGTAAAAGATAAAGAGATTAGAGTAGCTTTCGTGGGAGAAAAATTAGTCACAAAATACCCTCAGCTAACTATTATTCATTGATTCTTGATGTCATACACATCACTCTTTATATATATGCATACTTTTAGATTAGAAAAAACCCAGTTTACCTTTATCTATCATAATGATTCTTACTTTACAATAATATTACTCTTACTAATGTCTACACAATTAACCAAGTCTCTCAGAGGATTGCAAGTTGGCAATGCTAATGATATTGATACTACTTTATTTTGTGCAATATGTAACCTCTTATTGCACAAACCAATACAACTTCTATGTTGTGGTACTCGTCTATGTCGATGGTGTTCGAAAAAGAACTTGTCAGATAGGTATGTATTTCTTACATTCACTTCACTATTTCATATTATATACATCATATGTTTATATTTAGTGAACCATTCGTTTGCCCATTTTGTCAAACAAAACTACCTCAAAAGCAGGTAAAATACTTCATTATTTGTCTATACATGATGTTAAACTGTGATTATCAAATAGGAACATGCTGATCGAGGTGCGGAACGAGAACTAAACAGAGTTATGACTGTATGTTATTCATGTTCTTGGACTGGATCATATAAAGATTATCTAGTATGTTATTAGTTTTGTTGAATATGAAAAAAAATTGTAGAATATAAATTTTGATTAATTTTGTAGGATCACTTACAAGAATATCATGCGAATATTGAATGTGCTAATTGTCATGAACATTTTTTCTCAATAAACTCAATGGAAGAACATGCAGAAGAGATATGTGAATATCGATGTGTACAATGTAAATTACCAAGTTGCAATGAACTAGTATGTTCTGTTGTAGTGTAGAAACTACTTTTTGAAGATTTGTTACTTGCTGATTAGGTGAAATGGCGTGATATGCAGACACATAATTTAAGTAATCAACATCAGATTGCATTACTTGAATTTGTAGTACAATATTCTCGTCAAGGAAACCAACGATCGCATAATATAGTTGAAGAATTACGTAACATTCTACAAAATATTGCTAATCTGTCTCCTACAACAGAAAAGGTGACAAATGACTGTATACGATTGAGGGCGGAGTATAATGAAGCAAAAGTCACTGGTGAACGAATAATATCACAAATCAACGAAACAGCTAAAAGAACTAATGAATGTGCTGAAAAAATTATTCAATATGAACAATCACAAAATGCAACTTTCAAAGACTTAAATGATGTGATAAATGCATCTAAAATTATTACAACAAAACTATTGGATATTAATAGTACTGTCATTTTTCCTTTTCATCTAGATCAAACTGATATAAACTCACTATTTTCAATGTACTCAACACTATTTAAAACAACACAAGTTGGTTATTCATTTATTCTTCGTGTATGTTCAACTAAAGATTCAGCAAATCAGAATCAACAATATTTATCAGTATTTATTTCATTAGTTCGTGGAGAATTTGATCAACTTCTTGTTTTTCCATTTCCATACACTATCTTCTTATATTTATGTGATCAATCTGGACAAGGAAATCATATAATATCAGCAATCAAGCCTGATTCGAATGAATCGGCACTTAGTCGTCCATTAAGTGAAAAGAATGATGAAATTGGTGTGCTGAACTTTTGTCCATTAAGTTATCTTAATGAAACAGGAAATACTTATTTGAAAGATAATGTTTTTTTTATTGGAGTTTTTATTGATTTCCTGAATACAGGATCGATTCCCGTGGGTTGAATCTTCGTAAGTACACCGTAGTAATTATATTGTTAATCTTATGTTTGTTATTCTAGTATAAAAAACTAGTCTTGAATGTGAAGCAGTTTTTTTCGGAAGAAAAATTAATAACATCAATATAAAACAGAATCATTGTCACTGTATTTTGATATATTGTAATCTTAAATTCTTTTGTTATTTTCTCTATTATGTAAAGCACATCTGTCATTTTCAAACATTGTTTTTCAATTTCTAAAGTAGAATTAAATGCAAAATATTAAATTTTAATTTCGATCGTTTTTTAAAATCTATTCGAAAATGAAGCTTACGAATAGGTGATCTACATAATTAAAACTAGAATAAATTAGATAAATAAGTACTCGTCTTCTAATATTTGATGATTTATTTAATATGTTTTGAATTCGAATATGAAATGAAAGATGTTCAAGATAATAGGGTGGTCAGTTATGATTACATTGAAGAGGTACAGATGGATCTTCAATGTCATAGAGAACAAGTCAACGAAAATTAGAAAATATAAATATTATTTAATCGAACATGATCATCCACTAATAGGATTGGTAAACAAAGAATAAGTAAACAGAATGAATCAAAACTTTCGTGAGCATTATTAATATCGATGCATGAATTATAAAATATGGTAACTACAAGGGAGAAACCGAGACTCCCATACTTACCACCTCTTATCGTACTTTCGAAGTAAATGAAGTCTCGCTTTTTTCCTTTTGAGTAATCGTTACTATGTTGTTTTAAAAAAATCACGTTTTTATATAATGCTACATCCGACAAAATACATTGTCATGACTGTACTGTATAATACTTTTCTTTTTCTGTTCTGTCTCATACAGACGAAAGAGACCATTATTATTTTGATAAAACTATACTTTTTTTATATAATTTTAATTCAGTACAAACAAAAAAATGAACTTACAATTTTAATAATATGAATAACAAATATTTATCTATCTAAACTAATTGATAATTTCTCAGCTTATATATGTTTTATGAGATAGTTGTATTTGTTCTAATCATATTTGTCGTAATAGGTAATGCAGTAGTAATAGTAACAGTTGTTAATGGAAGAATTTTCTTTGTTACGGATTTAAGTCGAGTAGTCAATGGTGTATTTAATTTCGTTGTACTTGTTGTATCTGCAGTGAGTATTCGAAGTGAATTATCTAAAAAAATATGTATATTAATTATATTTTTCGAATTTTAATAAGAGAAAAAACCTGTAAATTACTTTCTTGAGAAATTATTTTTGGATATGGCCAATAAAGTGGAGAAAGTCCAGTGACTATTGCAATAATAGCCAGTATCGTAATGATACTGACTAGAAGAAAAATAGTTTGTTTGAAAGTTAACATGTATTCATTATCTTCATATATGAACTATTGCTTACAGGAGGACAGAAGAAAGAAAAACGAAGTAAAAAAAAGTTTCATTGTTATTTAAAACTATTTAGTTACTCAAGAATGTTCTGTATCTCTTCATGATAATATCTTCATTCTTGGGACGTAAAAGTATGTTTACTAATAGATTAAAGATTAAATTGAGTTTAAAACATTTAGAGGAGAATAGATAAATCCATGATGACCTTTGAACACATTTCTTTTTTGTTTTGATAACTATAACACAATTCAAGGAGATTACTACATGTATAGCAAACAATTTACCTTAAGAAACATGAATGATTGTATTATTACGTATACAGTATAGTTAAGCTTTCAAAATGAATACACTCAATTGAATCTCTTAGATAAAAGCAACATACAAGAATGGAACATCAAAACTATTGAATTGAAGAATAATTTCTGTTAATTCGATACTATTCATTCCAGCTGAGCCTTAATAAATGAAAAATATTTTTAATCAGAAGATTCACAGTTAATATTAGAATCAATACGAATAAGTCTATTTAATTTATCATTTGATAAATAAATTATATAATTATCAGTAATCATAGTATGAAAGATCAATGTGTCAACATATGATCCTCGATTATCATAAATTAATACACCATACGTGGCTAATGAATACTAAAAAAATCGATCACATTCATCAATACTTATTCCCTCGACTGAAAGGAGGGTGATATGAAAAAAAACGAAAATGCGTTTGTCTGTTTGTGCCAGGGTAAAAAAACATCGAAAATCAATTTTTCGAAAAAGACATTTTCAGAGGTATTTCGATGCGGAGAGTTCGAATCTGATGACCATTGGGTGACCGTGTGGGTGGGTGTGGGTGAAAGGTGAAAAAAACATGGAAAATCAATTTTTCACTGTTTTCATTTTTTTTGTAGTAGTTGTGAAGAAAATGCAATTCGACGAGAAAGAGCTAAGCGAATCCTCAAACGAGCGTTACTTGTTGATCAGTGAGAAACCGAGGATGACAAAAATGACCATTGAGAATTCGAGGGCACCAAAACTGTCGAATTAGATACTAGGAGTTTGGATTTGAGGTGTCAGTGTGGGTGTGGAAATATCGATTAGGACTTAGAGTAGTAAAATACTAACACCCACACCCTCAAAATGGTTTTGACAGTAAGTATTCGATCTCTTTTATTTTTGTCAATACTATATTTTGATTCCTTTACAGATAATTATTGTCCGATTCGCTTTCAAGTTGATCAGACTCATCAAGGAAAATCGAGTCATTGTATAAATCTAATTTTTTCCTTTGTAAAATATGTCATTTTGAGCGTTTTATTAAATTTCTAGTTGTGAAATTCGAATTTCATTACTTCTCAAATCTTATAAAACAAATATTAATTTTTTTTGTATCATCGAGTATAATTTTTAATCGGATAAATGCTTATTATCTCAAATATTTCTACATTATGATGAGAGTGGGTGTATGTAAGTATGGATGTGAATGCGGGTATGGATACTATTTATGTGTTACCCAACACACACATACTCAGGCTCACCGCATCCCACACGCACATAATATTCTGTCGTAAGAACGAAAAAAGTGTTTTAATATTATTCTTTTTTTTGTAATAAATTGTATTTTGTAAACATGAAAAAAAGATGAACAATTTGTGCGAAGGAATGTCAACAACACACATGGCACAGAAAATCAAAATGAAAACGAATACAATAGGAAAATAATGAAGTGAACAGCTATGATATAATATTAATAAACATCTGAAGGTAGTATTCGTGTATCTGTTGAAGGTCTGAACAAATATGCATCCGAAATATGGATGTGATAGAAGTATCGACAATGTCTATTGAATGAATGATCGAATAGTTAATATATTATATGAAAAGAAAATACCACGGAATAAAATAATAATAGCAATACGTTATTGTTTTTGAGAGGGTGTGGATGTTAGTATAGGTAAGAGAGAAATATGATATTCACACACTGTCATGATATTGAAAAGAGTTCTACCTTTCTTATTGACAATTATATTCGCTTTCAAAAAATAGGTTGGATAAATCTCGTTATTTTCACACAATAAGACTTGCGTCATCGGTATTTTTGACATAAAGTTTGTAACTCAAAAATACATAAAACTGGTATTTGGGTATAAAGGTACTATCTAACGATTAATACAATACTATTATTTTAAATAATCATTAACGATACATAGGATGATAGAAATATATTTTTACTATATGTGTTTGTTTTCGAAAATGAATTAATTTCTTTGTCTTGATCCTGGACCAGTTGCAATGGTTTGATTCGATCGCCATTGACATTTAAATAGTTCCATAATTTCACGACGAAATAATCGACTCGATAATGTAAAAACATAGAAACTTGTACATGCACTTGTACCAGACAATACACCAGTGATGTTCGTAAATAAAGAATCTTTGGCAAGTTGAAGAGCATCTGGCACTACATTAATTCTTAGTGCAGTATAGATGTACAAGACTGAAATAGGAGTTGACCACAAACTAAAGTAGACACATTGAACAAGCATCATTTGTAATAATTGTCGATCAGTTGTCTTTTGACGTTTCAACTGTTCTTGTTGCGCGGGTGTTATCGATTCAGTTTGATTTTGAACTTGAATATTTTGCGATACAATTCTTTTTCCTGATTGCTGAACATGTTGAATAGTAAGTAATCCAAAAATAAGCATAACTGTTGATGGACCCAAACTAAATATCAATAAATTCCAGATACCATTAAAAAGTGGAAACGTAGTTTGAGCTAGTGGACATTTTGTGACTGTTTCTATATTTTGAAATATAATTGGCACGTAAAGGTAAAAAAGAGGCACAATTATAGTGACAACTAAAATAGCACGGGTGGCAACACGACGACTACTCCATCCTCGTATAGTAGCAGATGTTGAACTGCATAAAAATCTGTAAGAAATAAATATATATTGACATTTATAACAAGGTTATTTATCTCCTACAAGATTTTGCAAATGTATGATAACATGTACTACTTACCGATCGATGGAAGCAAGAGCAATAAACCAACACGGGAACGCTCTAGAAGAATAAGAAAAGATTCTATACTACATATTTCAAAAAAACAAAGTATATACCGTGCACACATGACAATAAATGAAAGAATTTTGCATGATGCTATTGAGTATCCGAAAGGATTATAAGCTGGATACATAAGCTGGATAAGTCGCAACGGCATATTAAAGATTGTAACGAAACTACCAGTTATTGTTACTGCTAAAAAATAACGTGTGCATGGATTTGAACGAAGTATTGGACGTGTAAACACATAAATATTCAATGAATGACCAATAATGCCAAGACATATTAATGAATAAGACCAAAACTCAAAAAAGATCATATTACCGTAGCGGAGAGCATTAATCTCAGCAACAGTTGCATTTGATAACGACATAGTTTTGTTTTGAACGATTATTAAAATGAATGAGAAAAATTTGATAAAAAAAAATCTACAATAACTTGTCGTTTTAATGTTCAAATGAAGGATTTTATATCTTTTTCATCTGACAATGTAATGCAAATCAACATTCTGGAAGAAATAATATCTTTTCTGTTAACTAAATTATGATAGTTGAAACATTTTTTCCGCATGCTTCTCATCAAAATGACACTATTTTATATACATCTCTAAGATCACTCTCTTCAGATATCATGATTTTATGCACGACGATATCGATTAAATGCATGATAAAAAAATAGAAATCAAAAGGGATGTTCTCATTAAACAAAATTCGTGTTGCAATTATAGGACATCACGACATTTAACAACTAAATCGAGATTTATTTTTTCATCGACGATAAACATGTTGATGGAAACTCCCTATAGAAGTGACTACGATGTACGTGCAGAAAAGAAAATCTTCTATGAAGTGTAACAGTAATTCATAGACGGATATCTTTATAATTACAACAGAAAAATAAAGTTTTAATGACAATTATATTACAGATGGTAAATATTTATTTAGTTTGATTATTAAGCACGCACATCGTCAAATAAGTGGAATATAAATCTTTATATAGAAATGAAAGAACGAACATCGATTATACTATCATGCATAAAAAATGAACAGTATTTTTTTTAATATTCCATTTTATATTTATTTTGTAAACAACTCATTGCTACGGATTTCTTATGACTTTCAGCTAGTAGTGATCATACTATTTTAATTCACATACGAGCCATGTCTTCTTAAAAGATGATTCTGTTTATTTTCGAGATTCTCAAATTTTGCGTTCTACAGTATATAAATGTTACGTCGTCTGGAAAAGAAAACCTATATAAATAAAACTCAGAAAGTTATATATTAAGTATAAATATCGTATTCACTCCAAGAATGATCTTCCAGAATATCTTAAATATTTATAAAAGATACTTTAAAAAAATCAGTTTTTTTAAGTAATGCTTTTTTTTTCAAGAGAATCAACGTGATATTTCCTGTTCATTCTAATTACAACACGTTTTGTTTGTCATTGTGGCACTTCCTGTTCATGCCAGATATAATATGATAGAGTATTTATATATCAAATGCCATAATTTATTTAATATCAATTTTTCTTTACAATGATGGTGCATTGTTAATTAACCTATCATAGATTTCTTTTGTTCATTTTTTCCTTGTGTGCTCCTGATATATAAAGGTATATATATATATGCTGAGTAAAACTATGGATGTGAATAAAGAAAAGACGAATCTACAACGACAACCACACACACTCTCAAGAATTACATCATCTCCTTTCTTTTTCTTTATAATTTCGTTTTCTTCTTACAAGAAGATGACTTTGAGTATAACTGTGTGTGTCGATGTGGATTCATCATTTCCTTACTCATGCCCACGCTCATATTCTTAATTTCTTGTATTTCTCTTTCTTAGTTTTTCTTTTTTATCATTTCAGTTGTAACTCCTATTCTATTTGGAACTGTATTCTCGTGCGTTTATTCAGACGTCTAAATACTTGCACATTACTCAAATGCAACACAAACTAGAAACCGAAAACATCGTTATGATGAATAGTCCTGATACCCATACTACGGGACCATTGGCAAGCTTGATACTTGTCTTGTAAGTTTTTATTTCTATTTTTTCTTAATAACATAAAAGTGATCATAAACAATCTCTAAATCATACATTTCTATTTCATTTAAAATGTTGTGATATTTCGAAAGTATTTCACTGAAAACATTCAACTAAGCAAATAAAATTGTATTCAATCAAAAAATGAATATTTTTATTCGACATTCTCAAAATGTGTAGACCCTAATTATTGATCAAAACAAATACTAACTATATTATTTTGATAAAATAAAAAGTTTAAAAAATTTCTCTTTTTAATACTTTCACCAAGACTGAATTTTTCATCAATGAAATGAACCAGATTATTGATTACCATCATAAGACGGACACTTAATTTAACATGAGTTAATCCACATTATCCTAAGTAAGAATGAAAACTAACTTATTCTATATGTAATCTGAATGATTCATGAGATAAAAACGTGTTAGTTATGGTCAGTGGCGGATCTAGGATTTTGGAAGGGGGGGGGGGCGATACCTGAGGAGGAGGGGGCGATTTTGGTTAAAAGCTATTTTTTGAGGCCAACGGAACTAGTGTGAATCTATTTTTTCGTTCATTTTTGCTGTAAAAAATCAAAAAAAAAATTCGGAGGGGGGGGCGATTGCCCTCTCCCTAAATCCGCCACTGGTTATGGTCAACAATATAAATAGCTGACAAAAATATTTGTTTCTCGAAGTACCATTCTAGTATATAGATGAGAAAATTTTATTAAGAGTTTTGAGAGTTCAAATCGAGATCTAAAAAAACTAATCATTTCAAGATTTCCTATTCCCGACTATGAATATTTTTCTTCTTGTAGAATTATTTGACATTGATTGTATATTCGAAGTATTTGATTTTTTTACTAATTTTAAATAATAGATTTTGCAGTGTTTTTGGTTGATCATCACATTTTTTCAAATCGTAATCTATACAGAAAACTCGCACACAACTATAGGAGTTATTGGTTATTGTATTATGTCAATTGGTTTCTATGGCTTTGGATTATGCGTCAGCGATAAATCTTCGGAAAATGGCTTACGTGTGGTATGTAATGTGAATTGATTGTTTTTCAATATAAATTCTATATAAAAATATTTGACACAAAATTTGATACAGTTTGTTTTGATAAGATTTTACTAATCGATTTTGAAATAGTGAATGCCGATTTTCATTTCGAGAAAATTTTAGAACTTAGACTTTATCGCTAAAACTCAACACTTATTTGTATAATACAGACGTATGTATATTAAAATTTTAGTAAATAGTTACCCAAAATTGAAAAAACAATGAAATGTTGGAATTAAAACTGATCTTTGTTTTTCATCTTTAATTCGCTTGGATTGGCGTGGTCATACTTGTTTGTACGGGTATTAGATTTTTATGGTTTTTCCTGGGTGATGTAGCAGTTTTAGCCTTTGCAGACGTTGTTTCCAGTGCCCTAAACTCAGTTAATGGCAACTCAACTGCTTTACCTTCTGTTGACAAAGCTGCCATGAAAGACAGGACGGCTGAACCTTTAGCAGAAATAGACATTCCTTTTATTGTAATTCTTATTTTTTTCATTTTTAACGTAAGTATTCGATGTCTTTTATTTTTGTTAATGCTATATTTCGATTCCTTTACAGATAGTTATTGTCAAATTTGCTTTCAAGGTGGCCAGACTCATCAAGGAAAATGGAGCCACTGTACAAGTCTAATTTTTTTCCTTCACAAAACTTGTCGTTTTGAATGTTTTGTTAGATTTCTAGTTGCGGAAGTCGAATTTTTTTGCTTCTCAAATCTTATAAAACAAATATTCATTGTTTTTTGTATTATCGAGTATAATTTTTAATCGGATAAATGCTTATTATCTCAAATATTTCTACATTATGACGAGTGCGTGTGTGTGGATGTAGGGTATTTCCTTTACTTATAGCATATACTCAAACGAGCTGTGGGGTTATAATAAAAAAGACAGTCAAATGAGTAAACAATATATTTTATTTCTTTAAGCTTCTAATAGACTTATACATCCGAGTGTGATCAGTCTAATATACGTTACTCATACCCTTAGAATTTCAGTCATTCTAGTTCCCAAACTGAAGCATAAACAGAAAATATTGAGAACGATGATAATATATACATGTTTGCAAATAAAATATGTATAAAAAAAAATTTTCAGTGTTGTTTTAACAAATGATGAAATCTTATGTTGATTTTTGTTTATGATTCGAACATGATATTTTCATAATGTTGACATATAACTTTCATTTTTACAAATACGTCGTTGATATTGAATATTTAATTGTTCAATAAATATAAATGAGAGAATTGTATGTGGACCAATACGATAAAAATATGGTGTAAAACCTTTCCAAAAACTCAATATTCCTTCTTGACGAAATATACGTTGAAATACATCCTAAAATTGATCAAGAAAAAAAAATACACAAAATTTTCAGTTTTATGTTCTGCCAATGATCAATCATGATGAAAAATTGCATTTTATATTTCGTGAAATATTATTAATCTTTGGTTCAAAAGAAGTCCATTTATTCTATCACTTTTGTACTATTCTTTTAGAACTGAATAAATCTAATCAATGATAACTTACTAAAATTCCCGTATATTCTGGTTTTCCTTGTATAATTTTCATATTTTGATATCGAGTTTTAACAATATCAATTGGTAACGAAACAATAGTAGTTACTAATGCTGCTATTAATGATGATACAGCATGTAAAGGAAGTCCTTGTTGCATAAGATCCATTGACATAATTAATTGTTTCGCTTGTGAATATGATGGCATTTGTGCAGCATTAACAATCATAGCTCGTGTTACTGTTGGTATAGCTCCACGCCATAATTTTAAAATACCTTCTTCTCGTGTAATTCTTGCAAGAGCATCAAATACATGTGCATAGTTTCTTCGTTCATTCATCGGTAATCGTCCATCAAGTGTCATACGAATTAAAGCGAGCTCAGCTGGAGTACCAATAAGTGAACCTAATCCACCACTGATAACACCCAAAAGAAGATTAACAAAAATAGATGGTGGACGACCATCATGATCTCTAAAACGTTCTAATAATATCTGATATATACCTAGACGAGTTGTGGCATATGTTGCTTGACGAAATAAACCAGCAGAAAGTCTAAAATAAATCTTTCTCTTTTTCTTTTTATAACGAACAGCTGATATTACCCTGAATAAATTCCACGAAAACCTTCTTTACGAAATATAGTTGTTAATGCATGATAACTTGTTCGATATTCTTTAATTCCACCACCTTCACCACTTATTTGCATTCGATTTTTAACTAAATCCATTGGATGAACAAACAAAGTAGCACCCATTCTAAATACAAAAAAACTCAATCAAAAAAATGTACCAAACTATGTATATATACGAAGCTAAACCACTGATAAGAAATTTAATTGAATTTGGTGTATTTGTTGTTGGTTTCGTATTTAATGCCATTATTTTGAATTCCTAAATCAGTTAATATGAAAACTATAATATATGAAATTATTTTACTTTTATTTTCAAATTAATCAAAATAAATTATCCACTACAATCAACCGAAAAAAAACTTTAATAATATGTAACCAAAGAATTAACTAAATGTAATATATGCTATCTTACTTGTTTTTCTTTCGCCAATTATTTTTCAAACGTGGCAATGTTTTATCTTTGTTTTTTTCTCTTTCTTTGTGGTTTTTTGTAAAACAATTATAGGGCTAAAAACGAGTATACTTCAAAAAGATATATTATTGAAGATGAAGTAACCACGATAAATAATTGTTAATAAGAAAATAAATCATATTCAATTAAACAACGATGACAGAACACATATTTCATTATTTAGTAAAAGAGAAAGATATTTAAAATAATATTCGATGACAAAATAAATTATTTAAATAATTGTAAAATTTTATAAAATAGATTGATACTGTTAATGTTTTGATTTAATTCGTCAGTAGATCTTCTATCAGTGACTGACGCTAATGGATGTGGGTCTAGGTGTCCAGTCATAGACACTTACACCCACATCCTCAAGTTATGATTTGATAATAAACAAGAGCGAGGTGTCGCGAGTGGCGGATCGTACGGAAGACGATTCGGCGCAGAGCTGGGTAAGTACGGACTTTTTCGAGTACGAGTCCTTTGCCCATTCCTGAAGCCGATGATCGATTGAGAGCTATCTGTAATGCTTCACTATAATAAAGGTGAAATGTCTATTTGTTTTAAAAATATCTGTCGATGAAAATACCCTATATGTTAGTGCATGCGAGTATTAACAGAGCGATACTTCAGAGAACAGATTTGGATAGGAGATGATAGATAATAATAAGATGAAATCAGTCGACGAACGTTACTTGTTCTTATATTCTGAAAATAAATTCATAAATAGAAGATTTATGTGTAGTACATAGTTTTATTTCAATACAAATGTTTTTAATGGAAATTAAACAATGATAGCATCATTTTGGGAAAGTATGTGTAATTTCTTTTTTATTTTCTTGAACTTCTGAAGAAGTTCTTGCTCTGCACCGTCAATTTGATAGTTGTTGGAATCGAATTCTATTAATGTCTGTATAAAATTATACAAATAACTATGAACAAGACAAGATGAGTATTTATTTTACTTTATTATTTATGAATGTATTACATAAATGTTGTGTTCCTTTGTTTCCAATTTCATTATCACTAAGATTAAGCTTTTTGAGAGTCTATATGAAATAATATCAATAAATATTAAAATAAGGAAAAGTATATATGTTTCACCTTATTGTTTTTGAATGCGTCACTTATATACTTTGCTCCTATATCTGTGATTTGATTGGCGGAGAGATAGAGCTCTTTTAATGTCTAGATCAAATATTAAAATATATCGATGAGTTAGATAAATAGTATTATATTTATTTTACTGTGTTGTTTTTGAATGCGTCGCTCAGATATTTAATACCTTCGTCTTTGATTTGATTTAGCGATATGTTAAGATCAGTGAGTGTCTATATGAAATAATATCAATAAATATTAAAATAAGGATGAGTAGATATGTTTTACCTTATTATTTTGTAGTGCATCACTGAGATATTGTGCTCCTTGACTTTGAATGTGGTTGTTATGAAGAAATAATATCATGAGTGTCTGTATTAAATACCAAAAAGCGTATAGGTGAAAAATAAAGATAAGATTTATTTTACTGTATTAGTTTTTAATGCATTACTTAAATATTGTGCTCCTTCAATTCCGATGTGATTATTATTAATCCAGAGTGTGGTCAATGCCTAAATAGAATGATTGAAATGAAGATGAAAAAGATACGGAGAGTATTTATCTTACCGTACTACTTTGCAATACATTACTCAGATACAGTGCTCCTTTATTTCCAAATGGATTATCGGACAGGTAAAGCGTAGTGAGCGTCTGTATGAAATAAAATAAAATAAATAGAAGAAAGAAAGAGAGAAACTGTTTGTCTCACCTTGTTATATTGCAATGCATCGCTTAAATGCTGTACTCCTTGAGCTGTAATGTGATTTTTTCCCAAAGAGACTGTCTTAAGTGTCTATGTAAAATAATACAAATCACTGCAAGAAAGATGAAGAGAATATTAGCTTTACTTTATTATTCTCCAACGCATCACTCAGATATTGTATTCCTTCATTTCCGATTTGATTATTAGTGAGACAAAGTACAGTAAGTTTCTATATAACATATCGAAAATGATTACGAAAACGATAAAGAAAATATTTATTTTTACTTTATTATGTTGTAATGTAATACTCAAATAGTGTGCTCCCCCAACTCCAATTTGATTGTTATGAAGGTAGAGATCTTCTACAGACTGTATGAGATAATAAAAGATGAATTGACAAAGATGAAGAGATTATTTATCGAACAAAAAAAATATAAATATTCAAAATAGTAATTACCGTATTATTCTGCACCAAATGATAACCAACGTATGCCATATCTTCACAAGTTAAATTTTTATTAAACAACGATACTGCCGATTTAAATTCATTTTGATTGATGAGAAGGTCGAGTCGTTCATTTATATCGAGAGGTTTTGGTAATGAATCAGGTATTATTCGTGACAAGCCCCTAATGCGAGACTTAACTAAAAAAAATTTTTGCGATTTATATATATAGTTCGATATGAAGAATTTTTTTAGCCTTTCTTTCGGATAAAAAAAATATTAAAAATTTCAAATTACGAAAAATCATTCATTATTAAATAACTTCTGTTTTTCGAAATTTTATACTTTTTAAAGAAGCATTACCAAACTATTTCTCATACAGTCGAGGTCTAGCTCTTACATAGCAAAATTGATTCTCATTTTTTCGTTTCGTCATAAACTATAACTCACATTTATTTAGACACATGGATTTCTCAAGTATGTTAAGAGATGTTTTTGTAATACAATCAATATGTAGTCTGGCTTTTAATTCAATCATTCAAAAAAATATAAAACTCATTTTAACTTGGTGAGCGGTACTCACTTTTTATTCTCAATCTCCTATTAAATATTTGTATTTAAGGAAATTTATTAAACTGTTTCACATTTCTTTAAATGCGATTCTATTTAAATATACCGTATATTATAATTTGGTAGATTTTCGTTTTTGTTGTTTGTGCTACGTTGATTATATAATTCCGCGTAGTTTCATATTTTTCAGTTATAGAATTCGGTATAGTTTCATATTTTTCAATATTATTTCGAAACTTTCTAATTTTGTCCATTACTCCAGTAAGCACAATTGCCTTTATCAGTGGATCTATGATAAAAAAGTTTATATAAAATTAAATGTTGAAAAAAAGCATTTTCAAGTATAATTCATTAGATAGTTAGCCAAAATTTTGATGAATTTAAATAAGGGAAACAGGCAGACACACAACGAACCCAAACGTCAGCTCGGAGATTCAGGATAAACTATTTGATTTTGAGTTCGGGTGTGAGTGTGGGTGTGATTTGAGAATAAAGATAATCACACCCACACCCTCAAATTTGACGCTGAATATGTATCTGACATTAGATTTTGGCTACATGCACAAGCAGTCAAGTTAGTGGACAATGATCAGTTCAAAAAGTACTCAAGCTCGTTTCTCTCATAAACATTCTTGATAGGAGATCATATTTTCATAAGAAGTTTGATACAATCTAGCTCTAAGCACTAGCAAAATCATTTTTTAGAAGTATTAACTAGTCAAGATTTTCGACAAAATTTTAAAATCTTAGGACAGAAACATCACATTCTTGAATAAGATTCACCTATCCTCAAAATCTAACTGCATGTCTGTACCTTACATCGTGAACAAGATCTATTATCTTGCTTCTTAGATGTTTCTCTTGGAAGATGGACACCCGATTTTTCGTTCCTACGATTATGATGGAGTTTGTTATGAATGAAAGAAAAAGCCATATCAATTTACATTAGAGAAATCAGCACAGGCAACAATGACAATATAACTAAAGTATATGAGAAACAACTTACTTTCACGAGTTGCACATAAAAACGAAGCGTGACGTGTACATGATGCTATAACATCTGGCAGGCCTAAAGTAAAATACTTCAATTTACAGAAGTTGATATAAAAACAAAAATGTAAATCGAAGATGTATGTTTTGAGTCGTCCAAAAAAATGTGGAATAACTTGTCACACCTACTTTTTTTTTGTTCTCATTCTTCTACGTCTTATCAAACATTTCTCTTGCGATTTATATATTTTGGAATAGCTTTGACGGAAAGACCACCTTAGAAGATCATCGAAATATTTACGCTATACTAAAATTTCATCTTGATTTTTTTGCCTTATATATAGTGAATGCCTTTACCGACAATCACTATTCGCAATCTGATTGGAAAACTAATTACTTAATTGTTTACATTATATTATTAATTAATAAAAATAAAATCATCGATAATCATAATATCTAGATTACGTGTTTGCAGTCCTATTAAGGAATTTTGCAGTAAAGGGAAGTTTTACGAAGTAGTTGAAGATATAGGGAGAGGCAAATGGCAGTTAATCAAAGAGAAAATTAAAAAAAAAAGGATTATAGATCCTATATATTCTCATCATATTCTGCATATCCGGGATCCAGTTTTTCTGCCTTGGATCATATACATAAAGAGATGGTTACAGAGAACCAATCGTAAACAAACCTGCTTTTCTTGTTGAAGGTGTATTCAGAAAATTGCTGCTTCTGACGTTTTGAATCGATCAGCAAAACTTTTACTCTGCTTATCAAGATCTATGTATCCTGAGATTTTCAAAAACTTTTCCATACCCGTTTTTCAGAAACTCCGGAAAGGGAGAGGAGATGTCCCTTTAAGTAGCACTCTGAACTCTAACACATAGGAAGAAAACAGCATATTTAACAAAGGATCTCTCTAGATATATCTCTAAAGATCTAAAGTTTAAATGTGTCTCTATCATTGGTATATGTATATATTGTTTCTGTTAAAGTCAATGATGCTACTTGAAAGTGGTTCTTTGTAATCGTCTCGTTATAATTATGACCTGCGTATACTTTTTTATTATTCGTAAAAGAACGAATCCGTTTGATCTAGTTTTGAGAGAGATCGTCCATTTTTTCCTTCAGTTAACCGACTTTTAGCCCGCTCTGTAGATGTGAAGTCCCAAAAATTAGCGTTAATTTACTGCAAGCACAAATATATAAGAAAACTTACCTTTCTTATTAGTGTACCAGGCATGTATTATGTATAAAACATATACCAAACACA